TTAAAATTGGTTATTCACAAAGAAAGTTACAAATATTTTTTTCCCAAATTGGCAACCCACCGTACTAAGGATTCGGACTTTTCTAAATTAACCGGTTAAAAAAACCATTTCATTTTCGAAATCACTGTGAAGTATCCCTTGTAAAGTTTCAATCAAGTAATAAAAAAGAAAGCATCAAATATTTTGTAACTGGTACAAAAAAAACCGCTTTAGTTTTTAAGATAATTTTCTTCATTTCTGCAAGTATCTTGTCAAAAATGAGAAGGTGGATGTTGAAAATTAATATTGTGAAGACATGGAATTATTGCAGATAGTACTAAATTTGTTTTTACAAGAGACGGTGTCTTTGTACAAGCCTAAAGTAGAAAAGATACGCTACTGACCAAAAATGGAATGCCAGTATCAAACCGGTACATGATTCTTACGGATGTGGTTAAGTTATAGGGAGTTTACACGGTTCAACTTTCCCAAGCGATTAGTTGAATAAAAGGTGGACCTAAGTAGGCAGCTGGGCAACTTCATTGAAAGTGATTAGTTTACCACCAGGCGATTGTTGTTCTCGACTAAAAGTTGTCTGAAAATGAGTTAATAGCAGCCTAGCTGTTAGAGTAACTAATATTCTTCCCCTGAAAAACTCGAATGGATGCTTCTGACGTCTTTCCATTCGTTTATCTCAGGATTCTTATCGAAAAAGTACTATCAAAAACTTCCGAGAGTTGCCTCTAGGTACTAAGGTATTTGGTTACGAACTCGTTCAACGATTTTCAAAAAAACACCTGCAGTGAAAGTCTAAACCTATTTATATCTTAGATACGATTTTGTGATTGCGCTGTATCGACCCTTGTTTGTGTTAAGAATACGCGGAGCAGATGTCAGGAATTAGAGTTTGTCTTCTGTACACACCAATAAGCTTCTTTAAAGTCTTGAAAAAAAAATACGAATTGAGGCTTGTGGACTTCGGTTGCTCATTATAGGCCCTTTCTGCTTTAGATAAAATTACCAATTTCGCCTTAGTACACTCGTACATGATGTGATTCAGGACTAAGAACAGATAACCGGCTAAAATTCCAACTAGTTCAGGGCATTTGTAGGTAGGCTATTCCGCTCAGATAGGGAAAAGTACTATTATCAGATGATAATTGGTAATGTGTTGAGAGCATCCTAGAGCTTCTTTGAATATATTTTTCCAATATACGCGTTTGGATTTCTTAATGGAAGTTCGTCTTCTAGTACGCAGTATATGCCTACTCTTCTACTATTATACTACTGAAATCTTATTTTATACTACGAGATACAGCTTACCGAGAGAATCATATTTTGTAATCAAACACTTCATAATTCATTTTCATTCATATTCATTGTTCTGCCGCTATCACCTTATGAATGAAGTCGCCTTGATCTGATCTAATGCTGGCTTTCCCTTTTGAATTAAATGACGAAGTTTTCAATGACAAACTTGAGCAAAAAAAAAAAAATTATTAAGCTAACAAAACAGACATTACCCCGTATAGGACCGTAAGCTTACAATTAAAAATATAAACGACGAAATGAGAACCTCCTCCTGTTTTGTAGTCGGTAAAAAAATTTATAATTCACTTTCCTCAAAATGTTTTCCCACATTTTTTTCGACACTAAAAAAATTATTTGCCTTTAGTAAAAATAGTTTATTTTAAAAAGTGCTCATTGCATTATAAATTATTTTTTT